CTTGGACTTAAAGCCTCCAAATTGTAAGAATAAACTCCTGTTTGTTTAAGCATCCCATCTGTGGTATATTCCTGTCAGAGTGACACCAAGTAATCAGAACATAGAGGAGTATCTGTATTTATTTATTACAAACCCCTTCACAATTATCAAAATCACACAAGCTCACTGCAGCCAGTAATAGAGGAAAAGGGACTTTCTTCCCCCTTCCTCCCCTCTTTCCCAGTCTTACATAACTCAGGTACATTTATTTTTCTAGGAATATCTCTTCAAAATGAGAAGAAGATGTGCATTCACACTGCAATTAATTTTGCCAAATCACTTTTCAAAACAGCTGTAACAGTTCCCATTTCCACAAGCCATGTTTACTCACATCCTCTCCAGTCCTGGCTTTTATTGCTTTAAACATTTTCTGCCAAAGTAATGTGTAAAATTGAGCCTCTTAGTTCTAGTTCATTGTTATCTGAACCTGCGAGGTTCTGCATCCGGTAATGCACCTGACTTTTGTGGCTCTCCAGCTGCCAGCACAGAGCAAGTGTTGAGGGTACATGTGCTAAACAGATGTTACTCACCTGTGTGAATTTTTAAATGCCGCTCCATGTCCTTCATGCCATAAGCAGTCTTGAATTGGCAACCTAACAAAAGCAAGGAAAGATCAGTTACAAAAGGAGACATACACTTTCTTGGAGGTGGTTGTTATTGGGAATATACACAGCAAAATACACAGCAATTCAACCGTTTCTCCAGGTACAATTCAATGACATAGATGACATTCTCCACCTTGTGCATGCACTCTCACCCTCCTTTCCTGAGTTGTTCCTTCCCCACTAACATACACTCACTGCCTCCCAAGCTTCTTATTTAACCTTTTGCGTTGCTCTTGTTGATCTCATTCCCTACAGACTGTCCTTGAAAGAGGACGCTGCTCAAGGCAGCATTCTTTGCTAGTTAAGCTAAAGTAGTATCTGGTTTTAAGAAGATGTCAGGGGATATTTTTGGTGTAAGGTTTGAAGAGTATCTTAGGACAATCGTTTCAGGGGCCCATGGACACCTATAATCTCCACCGTGAAGATATCTGGCAGAAACCACCTTAGCCAGGTGATCACAGCATCATAGAAATGGGACAGACAGACACCTCATGGCTCCTGATCTGAGGCACCAAGGATGTAACATCACTTCGGTGGTTTCTGCCCAAACTGCATGAACTAGATCTAATCACAAGGAAACACCAGACAAACTATAGGCATAGGCTACAAAATAACTGGTCTGTACTTTTAAAAACTGTCAAGGTCACAGAAGGATAAAAGCTGAGGAACCAGTCCTGATTAAAGGAAACTAACAGTTCAAACCCAGCAGCTGCCCTGGGGAGAGAGATGAGGCAGTCTGCTTCCATAAAGATTTACAGCCTTTGAAACCCTGTGGGGCACTTCTACTCCGTCCTATAGAGTAGCTGTGAGCTGGAATCAACTTGATGGCAGTGGGTTTGGTTTTTGAGACACCCCTAATAATGAAATGTAATGTGTAATCCTGAATTGGTTTACAGAGGAAAAAAAAAATGTTTCTCTTTTGATACAAAAGACATGGGTGGAACAACTGGTGAAGTTTAAATTCGGTCAGTAGACTTGGTGATAGCAGCTGCCATCAAGCCAATTCAGACCCATGACTACTCCACGGAGGCCACAGGACCACTGTGCTCCATGGGGTTTTCCAATGGCTGCTTTTTCAGAAGTGGATCACCAGGCCTTTTTTCCGCGGTGTCTCTGGGTGAACTTGAACGGCTAATCTTCAGTCAGTAGCCCAGCACTTAATCATTTCCTCGACCCAGGGACTCCAGATTTGATCATAAAAAACCCACTGCCATCAAGTTAATTCTAACTCATAGTGACCCTAAAGGACAGAGTAGAGCTGTCTCATAGGGCTTCCAAGGATGGAAATCTTTATGGAAGCAGACTGCCATATCTTTCTCCCGTGGAATGGCTGGTGGGTGTGAACCACTGACCTTTTGGTTAGCAGCCAACCACTTAACCTCTGTACCACCAGGGCTCCAGATTTGGTAATAGTATGTGTAAATGTTAATTTCCAGATTTGGTGATTGTACTATGGTTATATAAAACAATTTCCTTGGTTTTAAGAAATATACACGAGTAAAAGGGCATCATGTCTGCAACTCATTGTTTAATGGTTTGAACAAAATATATATATATGTGCAAAGAATGACCAAGCAAATACGGTAAAATATTAAGCGTTAGGGAATCTAGATGAGTATATAGAAACTTTCTGTACTATTTTTATAACTTTTATGTAAGTCTGAAATTATTTCCAAAAGAAAAATAAAAAAATTCTTATTTAAAAAAAGTAAAGAAAGGAAGCTATCTTTCTCTTTCTGGGTGTCTTCCTAAATACAGCCCAGGGAGGAAAATGCATGGCCAGCCGCGAAATTTCACAAGTCCCAGTTGAAGGCCTATGTCTGTAAAAGTCTTAGAGTCCACACCCGGGATGACGAGGGACAGCCAGGGAGGGATCAGATGTGCTGACTCAGACGCTGCAGGGCTTTTCAGCCTGGGCTGGCAGCTTGGACCAGACCAGTGTCCAGTAGTCGGGAATCAGAGAGGAAGAGCCTGAAGCCTAGTGAAATGCCACCCCCCTCTGCACAAGCCGGACTTCACACTGCCTTACCTGGATAGCAACAGGTAAGCCTTTTCTGAGCAGGTGGGGCTGCTGGCTTTTTGGTGCGTGACTTGGCAGGGAGAGAGATGACAGTGGCTGTCTGGTTTTCGTTGCTTTCCGTGGGTAGGTAAGTTTGATAGCCATGTTCAAATACAAATTCTGGAGCTGAAACTAAAGGATATGATGACGATTAATTTTCATAAACGAGCACCAACACTGATTCCTTTGCCTGTCCTCCTCTGTAGAGACGGAACATCCTAGACTGCTTTCCACGCCTCACTCGCCACTTAGCAGTGCTCACATAACCCTGATCTGGCCAATGAGATGCCAGAGAATAAGCTGCTGTAAGAGAGATTCACTTTTAAAAAGGGAGGGGGTGAAAGTGAGGCGGTCAGGAAAGCTCACTCTTGCTGCTCTGGCTACCGCTTACTTCCTGTCTCTGGACAAGCTGGAGTGAAGATGTGACGCCTGGATCTGTGGCAGCCACTCTGTAAACATATGGGGAAAGTGAGAGAGTCAGGTGTCAGGCAGAGCCCTGAAACCACGCAAGTCTACACTTCTCCTTAAATAAACAAAACCCTAGAACGTGCTCCAGGTAGGTTTCCATTAACTGCAGTCAAACACGTTCTAACTGATACAGACCACTTTCATAAGCTGCACCACAAAATCCTAATAAACCCCAAAATGAACAGATAGAAGGAATCTGGGCAAAACTAGCCTTACAAATCTAAATAACACTTTCCAAGCACAAGTACCTCCATCAAAACGTCCTTTAGCTCACGTTGAAATCTGGGTTTTTCTTGGTTATTTATTTATTTCGACTGTGCTTTGCGTGAAAGTTTACAGAGCAAACTGGCTTTCCATTCAACAACTGACACATATTTTGTGATGCTGATTGCCATCCTCACAGTGTGCCAGCCATCCTCCCACCTCCTCCCCATGTTTACACGCCAGCAGTCCTCCCACCTCCTCTCCCTGTTTACCATTTCCCCTGTCCTTCTTTCCTATCCCTGCCTTCTGAGCTTTATCCCTGGCAAATGCTGCCCTTTGGATCTCGTAAGGTTGATTGTTCTAAGGAGTATGTTATTTCCCTGATGTTATTGTTCACCTTACTAAGCCTATGTTTGGCTGGAACTTGAGCCCTAGGGGTGAGCTCAGTTCCAGGCTTAAAAGGTGTCTACAGGCTATAGTCCTGGGGGTTCCACCAGTCTCTATCAGACCAGTAAGCCCAGTCTTTTTGATGA